GGGGTTGATGCTTAAAGTTTAGGATCCTAAATCCAAGACGCCTGGCACACGTCAATGCTGAACCGCTGTCGTCTGACATGCCACCAGATCAGCAGCAAGGGCGTAGTTGTCGCGGAGACGCCCGGCATCTTCATGAACTCTCCGAGCGTGGGGTCAAAGGTTCAGGGTTGCTGTGAAAATGGGGGTTTCCGAAAATAGGGGACCCTAATATAGTACCCTAAATAATAGGATCCCTATTATAAGGACCCCCAAATAAGGTACCCCTAATTTTCGGAAACTCCCAAATGATTCAGCGGTCTTCAAGTTCGGAGTCTTGTGACCCCTTCGAAGGAGATGATTTGTGACTTCATCCACAGGGCTGCGGCACGCAGCCATTGACAGCTGATCTTTGTAAAGTGATGCGCTCGTCCAATTTTCTACTATAACGATGCGCTCGTCCAATTTTCTACTATAACTATGATAAGGAACCCCCAAATGTTTAGGTAATTGGTAAGACTAATAAGCCTTGAAAAGTCCTGGCCAAGGACGGAGCTTCTCCTGCTACACAAGGCCCATCCACTCCGAACTCTTTTCGCTACCGGGGCTGGGTGTGTCTCTGTTTGGGTTACCCATAGGCCCCATAGTAGTTCCTTTTAGGGATTACCTTATAGGATTCTATATCTGAACCCCGAAAGGAACTACTTTAGGGCCTATGGGTAAGGGCTCAAGGCATGCTTTGATGGGTCGAAAAGCGGGTTTTGGGGTGCAGTCATTGAGTTGGTTCTATGTTGCCGTGAGGCCTCGAATTTTGTGAAGCTGCTTTTTTTTAAGCTAGACTTAGTGCTTGTATGTTGACATATTTTGCAATCTTTGGTGTGGCAAGTAGTGTTGGTTTCACAAGCACGGTACCTTTGAGTTTCCAACATTCTTTCGTGAGTTAAATAGGGCACAATGGACACATTGACGACATAATGTAGGGGCCTTAATAATCAGAATACGGTTTTTGGGGTATGTTATACTATAATATCTATAATTATAATAAGGAACTCCCCCCCCCACAATAGTATTGGTAAATATTTAGGGCTCCTAGAGTTATACCCAATGTACGTGCAAAAAAATACCCAATGTACGTTGCTGGTGCAAAGGTGCTCATAAGGTCTGGCGTCTCCAATGTTGTGATCGCGATGCGCAGAAGCAGCATTCACCTTAAGTAAACCCCAGAAAGCCCTACAACATGAGAACTAAACCCTGAACCCTAAACCCTAAACCCCTAAACCTAAAGCCTACACCTTAAACTCTAAGCCCCAAACCCTATACCCCCTAAACCCTAATAGAGCCCGGAAAGGGACTGCCCCTTTGCAAGGCCGCGCTAAAGGCCGGCCTCGATGACTTCGCTTCCGACCTCGTCGAACGGCCACTGGAATCATTGAGGGTTTGCGGTTTAGGGTTTAGGGTTTAGGGGGGGGGACGGGGGCGTTAAGGTTTAGGGGTTTAGGGTTTACGGGCTTGGGGTTTAGGGTTCAGGGTTTGCGATTGGAGGGCCAGGGTTTAAGCTTGGGTGAGCACAAATCAAGCCTGCGTAAAAAGGGGTTTAGAGGCTTACTTGGAGGATCATGGGACTTAGTAAGTAAGGTTATAAGTCCATTAATTCGGGTTATAAGTATAGTTACCCTAATTATAACCCTACTTACTAAGTTCATGATCCTTCACTCCTATAAAGATGATCGTGGAAGCCTTATGCATAGCTTATGTAGGGCTTATGGATAGCTTATGGTTCCGCGGTTCCGTGCTACCTTTTTGGAGCGAGATTGACAGCGGCAAAAAAATAGATATCATGGAAGGATGAGCATCGCTCTGGGCTTCCATTGTTGTAGAAACTTCGTGGGGCTAAGCCTTGCACCCTAAACCCTAAGCCCCAAAGGCAGATCCCAAGCCCTGAACCCTATAGACCTCAAGCCCTAGACCTTCAACCCCAAAAAGACCCGAAGCCCTGAACCCCGATAATATAGGGGCCTTAATAATTACCTGTTATACTATTTTTGGGGGTTCCGTATTATAGTTATGCTATAATGACAAAGCCTTCCTTGCCGTTGCAAGGCTCGGATCAGCAATGCCGGCGGAGCCCAAATTGCAAAGGGGGTTTAAAGGAGGATGACCTTCAGGGGTTCTTATCTGCAGTATGCAGGTTCGTTGAAGGGTTCCTTTAAAGGGCCCTCCCTCTCCTAGAAAGGCTCTCCAGGTGTTCCCTCACGTATTTCTGTGGTTTTCAATCTTATGCCTTGGGGAGCAAGGCTTGGAGTGTGATTGCTTTCTGGCTTCCAGCCTTGTGCCATGCGCTCTGCTCCTGCAGGTTTCGAGGTTTTTGGATGTTCCGGGGCTTCGGGGTTTAAGGTTTTGGTTTTCTTGTTTTTGGACTCAGGTGTTTAGGGTTTCTGGGTGAGGTCTTCGGGGGGTGCGGGGTTTCTGTGTTTAGGGTTTCTGGGTTCAGGAGTGTTCTTGTTTTGAGCAGTTTTTTTTAGCAGTCACTGAGCAGTCCATGTTGAGTCCATGCTGTGAAGAGCCCAGATCGAACTCCCCCCAAACCCCTCATTTTATACATTCCCCGGGCTCCGTTCATGTAATATATTTTTGTTTCGGGGGGGGGGCCTTGTGCAACGACTTGGGCGTGGGGGGTGCATCTACACTAAAACCCTTATCATCCCTTAAAGCAACTTTTAACAGAACCCTTTCAAGGAGCCCTAGTCTACCTTACAGATCCTTTTGAAGGAGGCATTTACAGGAACCGTCTTCGAATGATTGAGGCCCCTATACGATAGATGCTCGGAGGGAGAGATGCAAGCTTATCTGCGTTTCTGAGGAGTGGGCCATGGACAAGTGCCTCGGCTCAGGGGTTTAGCGCTTATTAGGACTTCTGGTTTAGTGTTTAGGATGGTTTAGGGTTGAAGGGTTTAGGGGCAAAAGGGTTTAGGGTTTAGGGGTGTAGGGTTTAGGGTTCCGGGTTTAGGATGGTTCAGGGTTCATGATTTCGCAGTTTTTCGGCTTCGGATTTGGAGTTAAGAGGGGTTAGGGAGTGCCAGGCAGCCGTTGGATGATGGCTCTTGCGTGTGTACTGCGGCACGAGCATCCCAAATGCACCGATAGCGAGCATCTCGTCTCATGTCACTAATCACTAAACCCTGCGAACCCCAGAATCCTCAAAAGCCCTGAGCCCAAGCACAACAACGCACTTACAGTCGCCTGAACCCTCAGAACTCGAAACTGCAAGTTCCGTTCACTTGGGCAAGCTGCAGGGGCGCAAGCCTTGCAGTGCGCAAGGACCGATTGCTTCGGAGTTTCTTACGGGAGACTTTTGTATGGCTTGTTGTTTGGCTTTGGGATGAACAACAAATGGGTCTTGCCTGCTTCCCTGGCACCGGTTTTCGAAAAAGCGGAGAAGGGGGGGGGGTTCTCATCATCAATGTGGATCTGCTACTCTCCGAAACTCCCAGGCCGAATCGGACGAGCCTTCTCTAGATGTTGATGCCTTCTTGTGTACACTTGTCCGTCGCATTCCTCGTCTGTGTGCCTGCGAAGCGTACATAAGTTTGCTCATCGAAGCCCTTCTGCGTCTCAGCATAGAGCCACCGTAACCCTTTGGAAGAGGCTTTGGAAGAGGCTGTCGGGCTTTGCGCGGTATATCTTCCTTTGCGGACATCGTGCGTTCGCAGGCTTTAAATAACTCCTTAGCACATGTCTTCACGGGTGCACAAGCTCCGAACTCTGCAGGACAAGATCGACGATGCCGTCCTCATCGCACGCCTCCAAGACATGGTCAACCAGACCTTCAACTGCTGGGGAGGACATGTTTGAGAGTACCTGGGTCCCGCTTTTTGGGGAATGTCCTCTCTGCCACTTCCATTGCTGTTGCTGTAGAGTTTCTGAAGACCCTAAACCCTAAATCCTAAACCCTAAACCCTAAACCCTAAACCGTACCACTCTATGGAAAATCCATGTGCTGCCTCTGGCCTTGGCTTTAGTCTTTCAGCTTTCGGGCTGTTGGGGTTTAGGGTTCTAGAGCGTTTGGGTTTTTGGGTGTTTGGGCTTTGGGGCTTCAAGGGTTTACCTGTTTATAGGGTTTAGGGGTTCAAGGGTTTTGGGTTTCAGGGGTTTCGGGACCGCTTCAGTCATTTCAGCACATCAGCCCGTTCCTGAGACGCTGTCTACGTCGGATGCTGCATACTCCCAAAACCCCCAGTTACCTACTATGTCGGGTGCTAGAGTTCTTACAGGGGCCTATATAGTAGGTACCTGGGGGGTTACCCATAGGCCTTAAAGTAGTTCCTTTTTGGGATTACCTTATAGGATTCTATATATGAACCCCCAAAAGGAACTACTTTAGAGCCCATGGGTAGGGCTCTAGGACTCTAGGACTGCCCATTTTTTCAAGCGCAGGATGCCGCAGAACCAGGGACCGCAGGAATCCTCTGGCAACGTCGCTCAAGGCGAGGGTTTTTGGCACGTCTGCTTCTTGAAAGTGATTAGAGGTTTAGGGCTTAGGGTTTTAGGGTTAAGGGTTTAGGGTTTCCCTAACCCCCCAGGTACCTACTAAAAAGGGTACTAGAGCCCTTATAGGGCCCTATATAGTAGGTACCTCGAGGGTTAGGGTGTCATATCACGGGACGTGTCACCTTGTAAGCCACGATTCTGATTCGCCAAGGCAGTCGTTCTTCCGGTCTCAGAACGTAGACGAGCAAAGAGAGCCATCGTTCAAAGCAATTCCGCCCTGGCGTAAGGTTCATAGCCCCCCAAACCGTGAAAATTAAACATGTCAACCCCAAATATCCCTAAAGAAGGCAAGGGCAGGAGGAAGAGCGGCAGCACCCATCCGAAATGACGCACTGCAAAAGCGCTACTACAGTACAGACTCCAGGACTCCTGTAGAAGCTTTAGACACAGCGGTTCCTCTACTGCAGCAAAGAAGGCCGACTTGAGGTCAATCTGAAGAGGCCAGCGCCGAGAAGCCATGACGCCATAGATCCTTGATGATGCTACCTCACTCCGTGACTGTCCCAGATGGGTTGCTCTCCCGGGCCCCTTCGACGAACGCGCCGGTCTTTCGCCCAGGGCCACAGCCTTCAGCTTGGCCGAAACCGACTCGACGGTCGAAGCTCCTGGAAGTGGGTGCTTTCGTCTTCGTCGCTTTGCGCAGATTTTCTGGAGGACGCCGCGCTTCGACACCGCGGGGGCGGACCCTCAGCCGACGAGCTTTCCGGAGTGTCTTCGAGTTTTTCAGTGGGGTCGGTGGCATGCGGCTGTCTTTCAAGGATGCGGTGCCGGCGAGGGAGCCTTTCCCGACGTGGCGTGCCTTTGAAGTGGACGAGGCTTGTTGCCAGGCATACTGCGAGCTTTACGGGTCCAAGTATGTCACTGGAGTGCGTCGAGGCGAGTTGTGGAAGAAGAAGCAAAGGGGCAGCGACGAGCTGTGGCGATGCTCCATTGACAGACTCCCTGATGGGGCCTTCGATGGTGGAGATCTCTGGCTTATGAGCCCGCCGTGCCAGCCCTTCACACGAACCGGAAAGCCGCTGAGCGAAGCATTCTTGAGAAACCAGTTCGCTCGTGGTCTATCGGCAGAAGAAAGCACGAAATCAACACCTGCTTCAAACCACTGAAACCCTATAGAAGCCAACTTGCCTTTTCGTTTCCCGCGCTCTGCGTTCTGAGCGCCCCAACGTCCCATCGCGCCAAGAGTTGGGGGGAATGATGGATAATCGGATAATCCACGGCAGAGCAGGGGTGATGATCCGCTCCGCAGGGAAGCGAGGGAGTTCATCATAAGATCCAGCCGATCGAGCTTCGCACATCGAAGTACCACAGGGCGCAAGGGGGAGCCTTCTAAACTGTTCTACAGCTTGCTATACTGTGCTTTCACAGGGACCGGACCGTAGCCTACCTTGTGGCATGCAAGCACAAAAAACAATAAACCCGATTACCAAAAATGTAAATGCCGAGCCCTACAAGCCCCAAACCCCAACCCCTGAAACACAAACGAAAACTAGAGGACCATTGCCTGTGGCAGAGCCCAGGCAAAAGGATATTGAGGATCCTCGTTGCAAAGCTCTGCTTCGATTGCTTGAGGCGCTCCCTGCATTGGCGCATCCTCCTCAGGCTCCTTTACAGCGTAAGGCCTTGAGCGTGTAGGGTTGTTATAAAGTTTAGTGTGTAGGATGGAAAGTTGCGGCCTGGTGTGTAGGGTGTATAGGGTTGTAGGGCTTAGGGCTATAAGGTTCATGGTCAAGGGTTAAGGATTGACTTTTGCGGGTTTAGGCTGCAGGCTTTTGGTTTCAGGAGCTCCCTTAAAGGTTTGTTTGATTCGGAATCGTCATAGTTAATCCTTTTCGTTGCTGTAGATTTACGTCGTCAGAAACCTGGGTTGTACTGGTCATTAGCAGCTGCTTTTGCTCCAGCATGAACCTCAAACCCTAGGCTCTTTTGCTCGAGAACGTCCCAGAGTTTCGTGGGTCCCGGGCTCACCAGCGCGTGGTGTCGACGCTCTCAGAGGCTGGCTACGCCACCGAGGAGCACCTGCTAAGCCCCATCACTTTCGGGTTTCCGAACACCCGGGAGCGGTTCTACTTAATTGCAGTCCTTGCCGGACAAGACGGCGCAGCTGCGACAGCAGTTGCAGATCTGCTTCCAAACCTGCCCGCACTTCCTGGCACAGCTACCGCCCGCATTCCGATCAGGCCGGTGTCTGGACTGCATCTGGTCTTGCGCTTTTGATGCCCCTGATGCACCATGCCCAAAAAAAGTAGACGGACATGCAACATTTAAGCGCAAGTCTAGGTGGAAGCCTTCCTTGAGGAGGCGGCTCCCAGCGAGACACTGCGGGTGCCGGAAGCTGTGCTGTAATCCCAGCACGAAGAATAAAGTTTGGTATATGGTGGGGCCGTGGATGCTGTGAATGGGGAGTATGAAGATACAAGGGCCAAGCGGTGTGACCACGGTTCCTGTCTATCGTTCTGTGGCAGCTGAGGAGAAGCTGCTGGAGCAGGCATACCGTGAGAACTTCACTCTTGATCTCGCAGGGAAGGTGGCATCGGGCTTGCAAAAGATATCAGGATTTACTGTGGGGTTGACCAAGGGTTTGGGATACCTATGGATACTTTTTGATTAGAAGAGGACATTTTTGCTTCATTTGGATGTGTAGAGCAGCTCAGATTTTGGGAATAGGGTAGTAGTTATGCACGGCTCTAGGGCCCTACAGCTCTAGGGTTTTAGGCCATCGACTAATATCCCTGGCACGCCAGACGCCCGAACTCCCTCAGCACAGGGGACCACGCTTACGAAGACCTTCACCTCGTCCTACGGGAAGGCCGAGTACGGCGGAGCCGGCTTAAGCAAGACAGGGCCGCTGGTAATGGAGGCTCCAGACTTCCCGGAGGCTGGGGTGTAATGTAGGGGCCTAAATAAATACCTAGAGTCTTTTTTGGGGGTTTCCTTCTGATAATAAAAGTGTAATGGACCCCAAAAACCAGATTCTAATTATTCAGGCCCCTACGTTAGGGCAAAAAGGGCGAAACCATGATCCTGCAGCCTTCAAGCCCGATATTTCCTCGAAAGCATGAAGCTTCGACTTCACCCCGTAGCAACCGCAGGAACCCCGATAATGGTAACCTGTTAGAAACATGTTTAGGCGCAAAGCCCTGAATCCCTAAGCCCTATATGCTCACAAACCGCTTAATAAACCTTTACAGCCTTATGGACCCTAAACATCCCCAAAACCCTACGTAGATCCTAAAGACTTACACCCTTCAACTCGGAAATTCATGGTTAGTTATAAGTACGGCCACAAGTAGGATAAGCCATGACTCACAGGGCCAGTAATATAGGGGCCTTGATAATTAGAATCGGGCTTTGGGGCCACTATGACATAATTAGTGCCATAATCATTGAATCATAATAAGGACCCCCAAAAAAATAGTACAGGTAATTTAATTGCTAAGGCCCCTACATTATAGCTTAAGCTCCCTTCAACGTCAGGATAATTAGAGTAGGGTTTTGGGGCCATGATACTCTAGTTATATTCAGGAACCCTCCCAAAAAATAGTATCGGTAATTGCTAAGGCCTCTACATTATACCCTAAACACCAAAGCCCCTAAACCCTTAAACGAGTATTGGGAGTATTGGTAATTATTTAAGCCGCTACATTATGGCTTAAGCTCCCTTCAACTTCAGGATAATTAGAGTAGGGTTTTGGGGCC